CGAACATCAAGATTCCTGCCTGCTTCTCCATAAATCAAAATCGTTTCTATTTTTTCTTCCACTGTTAAAAAATCCTGAATAACTGCTTAACGAAAGGAGGTCTTTTTATTTGCAAATTAATCTTCGAACTAAATTGATTAAATAATGCTAAACTATAAATAGTTTCTTTATACCTCAATAATAATTAATATTTATAACTAAATACCATTTTTTTATACCTCAATTAGGATTAAATTTATTAATTGACAAAATAATATTTTTTTCCCTAAATGAGGTATTTTTATTAAAAATAGTACAATAATCCTTTAAATTAAAAGATTTAATGGTGGCAGATAAAAAGTGACCATGGTGCGCAATTAATAATTATCACGGAATGAAATAATGTATAAAAATTAAACCAAAGGAAACTTAAATATTAGTTAAAAAGTCGTGGGTACTTAAAACAAATCAGATTTAATGTAATAAGATAATTATTACCAAAAAAGTGATATTTTTATAGAAAAATTATTGCAAAATCGAACAAAATTGATTTTTTTTCATTACAGCGCCATCTATTAAAAATATGAAAAAATGTTTTAGACAAAATCTACCTATAAAAAATAGGGTGTTCCATTGGAAATTTTAACCTTACCTTCTGTTCCCCCTTTAAGGAGAGTATGAGGACCAATTTTAGTACTGATTGATTTCCCCCTTCAAATCATTTAATTTTTAATTTAAATTTTTTTTCGTAAAATGCATACTAACTGAGATATTTCAAAGTTTCAAGTTCTTCTTCTTCTTCTTCTTAATTCTGAACACAATTCTGTGTTCAGAGGAATGACCTTTAGCTTAATTTAAAAGCTATTTGGCCAGCACATTATAATATTAAAATTTTCTTTATTATGATCAAGGGTCTTATTTAAAAGAATCTGAGATTAACTCATCCCTTGAATCATTTATATATTCTTAATTATTTATCAATTTTTATAGAACCATGTCATCTTTTCGCTTCACTATGTACACATGGCTTCATACACAGAATTTTCCAATTGTCTTTAATCTTCAATCATCCAATCCATCTCTTAGTTATTTCCATATATTTTTACAAATTCTTGATTATTCAAGTTAAATTACTCACCATACAAATACTTTTAAAAATTACAAGAAATATGGTTGAATTTTTGATATAGGATTTCGTTATTAAATCTACAAAATGTTTCTTATAATTACAAACTACTTATTCAATTAGATTACAGTTGGTTGTAAACTTAACATAAAGTTATATAGACCTGGATTAACATAAAATATTTGGTTAAAATTAGCAAATATTTGTTTACTGTGTAAAACAGTATCTTATGCTAATCAAGAAAGCTCATCGGAACAAATAAATATCAATTTGTGCAGCTGGCTTTTGCACCAAGTCATCTAGTTAAGTGAGCCTGGTATTCCCCGAGATGCCGGGTGACGGCGGCGCTGGCCCGGACGAATCCGGTTTGTTTACTGATTATTGCCGGGGATTTATATGTACAAAGGGACGGCCAATGTACCAAAATGGGACGGAATAAAAGTGGGGTAATGTTAGCTTAGGACATCGGATCGGATTCGGGCGGAATTATTAATGGATTCCCTTTTTCGGACTATTCTTTCTCTTACGAACAAGAAACATATCAAAGAATCCAAAGGATGGATATTATTATGTATCTTAAAACTAATAAGAAAGCATATTGTGGATTAGTCGAGTTGCTTTTCATTTATAAATCAACAAATAGTGATTTGAGGCACAAAACAACGTACTAGTTTTTAGTAATTAATGTTTTGTTCAGTTAATTGAAAAAATTATATTTATATATAAATATAGTGTGTCCCACCTAAAACTGTCAATTATCTATAAAAAAGTGCCTAAGTTACATTTTCAATTAAATTGACATTGTGGCGCTATCTAAATGTGTTTTAGGTAAGCTTTCAGGTGGTATTTGCAGAGTGGCAGAAATATAATAATAATAATAATAATAATAATAATAATAAACGTCTTTATTGAGAAAATAAATATACAATCTCAAATGGCGAAATTTGACTTATAACATTTATTGTTACAACTCATTCTTACATTTAACCATGATGTGTGCCTTAGTTTGCATTTACTTCAATGGGAGTTTACCTGTTTTTTAATAGAAGAAGTACCTAAGTCATCATTTTGACAGATGCAATGCAACATGTGCCTTAGTCCACGTTATTTAAGTTGAGTTATATCTGAGCAAATTACCTATTAAGCTGTGTAAATCCTAATAATTTGTGTCTGTGATTAAGAACATAAATATGGTAGGTTTATATACAAAAGTGCTCTTTTAGTTCCACCCTTACTTCTTAAGAAGTCCCATAAGCCAACTGAATGGCTTGTGCGGGTTAGGGGTAGGAACGGACCGCGGGCTTAAAGTCCCCTCCGAAGGACTATTACACAATAGGACAACAATAAGTAAAATAGATTGTGTTACCTTAAACCATACTAGTAACCGTTTTTTTTTGCTCGAACCTTGTCTGAAAATGGAAGTATAATTCAGCAAAATGATGCCATTTAACGATATTGATCAGTTACAAGAGGCCGACGCTGTTTATGAATAGCCAGACTTCTTATTATGTATGTTCGAAGTTTTACTTATCATGTTGTAATCTTTTTCTGTTTACAAGCGTTTCTTGTCATTCATATTATGTTTATGTATTGTTAAGTTTTGTTAGCAAATTATGTATTTTTTTACAGCGTTATATAATTAACCTTTTTTTTAAGTATAAAAAAATTTTCCTTAATATAATCCTTAATTTTTGACAAATTATTATAATTTTTTTGGACATAACAAAACTTTTTTTTAATCATGGAAGTCCAACACACATTTTGATCATAATATTTTGTGTAATATTTTATAAGTTTTGTTAGCAAATTATGTATTTTTTTACAGCGTTATATAATTAACCTTTTTTTTAAGTATAAAAAAATTTTCCTTAATATAATCCTTAATTTTTGACAAATTATTATAATTTTTTTGGACATAACAAAACTTTTTTTTAATCATGGAAGTCCAACACACATTTTGATCATAATATTTTGTGTAATATTTTATAATCAAAAATAAACCTTCAAACCGCAATATCTCAGAATCGCCTATTTGTGCCTAAGGCACTTCTTGCAATGACCCATTTAATTGTAATGTTTATGTTGCATTTTTTTGTCATAATGTTTTTATCAATTTAATAAAAAAGGTTTAATTTTTTGCGGTTCCTATGGTAGGTAAGTTACCTAAGGTAACGTATCTAATTTAACAGTCAACAAAATTAAGCCGTCAGTATTGTTTCTGTATGAACATATTTGCTTTATGGTGCACAAAATCAGACACTTTGACTGAACTGCTGCGAAGTTCCGAGTGAGACATTCAGATAAAACCATGTTTAGAATATTGGGAACAGATTTAGAGAAACTGGATCGGTTAAAAATAAAAAAAGAGATCAACCTTGCATACTGGTAGAGAATGCTCTAATAGAGGTAAACATTTTTTAAAATCTTGTATTCTTTTTTAAAAGCGTAGAAACAAACACAAATTAGAGCATAATGCATAAAAACTAAATTCAAAATTTTAGGTACTAGGACAGTTTGCATTTACCCCTTTCTATGTAACTTGGGCAAGCATCTAGAGAAACATGCCTTTTGAAAAATTCTGTTTGGAGAGTATTAAAAAAACAAAAATTTCACCATTATAAAATGAAGAATTTACAATCGTTAGGTGATGATGATCCAGATCGAAGAATCGAGTTTAGTCAAATTATGACGGCGAGAAAAAATTAAGATCCTACACACCTTAAAAATATTTGTTTCACCGACGAATGCACGTTTTTTCTTAATTGACAGGTCAATAAGCAAAATTGTAGGCCCTGGAGAGAGAAAAATGCTTACATTTTTCTAGAGAAATATCCTTAAAAACTAAACGTTTTGGCCGGTATTTTGTTCTTACAATTTTAATTGAAGGAAATCTTACTGGAAATAACTACTTAAATTTACTAGAAGATAATATTGATGTATTAGTTACACAAGAACTCGAAGATCAGAGAGATAGAATGGAAACATGATCAACACAAGATCTACTAGTTAAACCATGCCGGAACATCACACTGGAAACTTTTTAAAAAGTACGACAAGAATTTGATAATCGTCTTTACTATTGCTTTCAAAATAATGAAGAACATTAAAAATTTGTAATGTCTTTTTATACAAAAGTGCTCTTTTAGTTCCACCCTTACTTCTTAAGAAGTCCCATAAGCCAACTGAATGGCTTGTGCGGGTTGGGGGGTAGGAACAGACCGCGGGCTTAAAGTCCCCTCCGAAAGACTTATGAAAATAAGAAAGACATAATTTTTTTGCAGAATTATTTAGAGAATTACACTAATGGTGCCATTAAAGATTTTGAGGTTAGGGATTAGCCACCTCGCTGGGGTAGAACGAGGCAAGTTGAAAAGTGCCCTTTTTTGGTTCCCCCTTCGAACCCTCAAAAATTAAATTAAAGATATATGCCATTGACAGTTTTCGGTGGGACACAATGTATAAAGGATTCAAGTTTTGTCCAAAATAGTTTAAACATTCATTTCATAAAACAATCAGAACTAAAACTTTATCACCATCACTTTACATTTCCATTGCGTTTTTTCCTTTATTTAAATTTCTTTTAGAAGTTGTACCAAATATTATTTTATATTTGACTGAAATTGCTCTTAATAAATATAATAAGCATGCTACTGTATTTCCATAAATTATATTCAAAGAAAATTACTTTAACACCGGGATCAAAGGAAGGTAATAAACTTTCCAAACTTTAAGATGTAACGTCCTTTATTCTCCAATTCTTAAAATAACTTTAGTAACTTTGATACGGAACCGCAAATTCTGCATTAACTTAACATTTTGTAGCAAAAAGATTAGGTGAAACAAAGTTATCAGGAGAATACATACAGATAATAATATAAACATTTTTTTCTTTTAGAACTCTTGCATAGAGTCATTCTTCTAAGTGGTTCAGGGCTGAGTCCCTGGGCCCTGCAGAGGGACCCGCTCTTGGTTAAAAGAACAGTCGCCAAACATACTGGTTGTCATGGTGATTTGCATGATGACGATCTGGCACCCTGTTTGAGGCTGAAACAGCTTAATCAACTGCTCAATGTTAAGGTGGAGGCTCCCAGATTTCTACCAGGTGTGTATACAATGTAAAGTGTAGTTTTATGGTTCATGTTTACATCCCACATTTATTTTAATTTTTTTTTATTTCTTGTATATTTTTTAATATTTAATTTTGGTACCTACCTACATTTTTTGTTTTTTATTGCACATTTTAAATTATATTTTTTTTACATTTTACTTTATTTATTTTACAGTTTTTACAGAAAAAAAATATTTTACATTAAACGCGATGTTATATTATAATATAAAAAAGTTAACAAAGTTATTTCGATTTTTGTTGAAACAACAACCTGTTCGAAAATACATTTGTCAACCATCACAACGTTGCCAAGTTTCTTATACCTAAATGTTTAATATCTAAGAAAAAATATAGTGCCTGTTAGGATCTTCTCTGGCACCTTCTTCATAAATAAATAGCCCTAAAATATTAAAATAATAGATATAATCAAATTTAAATATCCTTCTTTATACTTCATTAGTACATTATCGACTAGGCGGAAAAGCACATATTATCGCCCAGTATTGCATTACGGGTTTTATAAAATATTTTTTTAAGGATTTAATTTTAATATTTATTTAGAATTATGTCGCATCAATTTTAGGTTAGGTTTAACTGGCATGATAAAATTTTATACGCTAAAGAAGCATCGCTCTTAGCGATTCGCTAGTATACAGCCCCTGTAAATAAAAATTGTTCCTATTAGATACAATAAATATTTAGTAATGATTTACGTGAAAATTGTAAACATTTCAATTTACTAAAAATTATTAAACAAATAAGGCGTCTAAGTTCAAACAGCATTTAGCATTATTAAATGCGTTGATTAAGAAAGTCTCCACTCAACAGTAAAATACCAAGAACCATATTATATTATTTATTATATATAATATTATGTTGCTCGTAGATATATTTTGTCGTTTAAAATGCAGTTGTCGGCGTTTTTTAAAGGACTCAACTATAAATATTCAATTTTAAGGTTATGTTTGTACAACAATTATTTTTTGTTAGTTATCCAAACTTAAATATAAATTATAAGTTATCATTAGTTAATTTTGCACCAACAAATATATGTACCGAATGGCAAAACAAGAATTCTACTTCTACTTTTTAGGGTTTTAAAGTCAAAGCTTGAAAGTAATACCTCATGGTCAATACCCTGATTGGGATAAAATCGTTCAGATTTGAACCACAAGTATTTAAGTAATCGCGTTGAATTACTTCAAGAGCATTACTTTGAACGTTGTAGTATGGTCTCCAAACTACTGAACAGTACTCCAACCTTGATCTCACCAGTGAAAAATACAAAGTTTTAATTGCGCTAAGCCCTCTAAAGTCTTTACAATTTCTAATAATAAAGCCAAGTATTTTAAGTGAGGTAGATGATATATTCTCAATGTGAGTGTTGAAATTTAAATTGCTGTCAAAATATACCCCGAGGTCTTTTATTTCAGAACATCTTTCAATGAATTCTTCATTTAATGTATAGTCATACATAATAAAATTGTTTTTTCTCGTAAAGGTACAGATTTTGCATTTACCTACGTTAAGCGATAATTTATTTATACTTATATTCAATTGTTCTTGGACGTAAAAGCAGTTTTCTATTGTTTTAATGTTATAGAAAATTTTGAGATCATCAGCAAATAGCAAGTGATGAGTGCCTAAAGACTTTGAAAGGTCATTAATAAAAAGCACAATAAAAGAGGTCCAAGGTTAGAGCCTTGGGGCACACCGGATGTTGCATAAAATTGTTTAGATCTATAGCTATTGTATAGGACATACTGTGGTCTACTAAATAAATATGATCATAATAAATTAATTAAATTTGTATTAAATCCGAGTAGGTCCAGTTTTTTAAGTAAGATGCAGTGATCAACCTTGTCGAAAGCCTTCGAGAAATCCGTATATGCCACATCTACCTGCCCACGATTATCTATTAGGGGAAGGTGGGGGAATTCTGCGCATCTAAGCAAAATCTCTAGTATCTTTGTTAAGTTTAAATGTGAAATTTTGCAATTAATACCAGCGATAGTCTACTATGTTTACTATGTGTATATAATGCGCAATTTATAAAAAAAAATGTTTGGTATGCAAAAACTACATTTTTTTAAATAATGCATTTGCGCAAAATTACCCACCTATCGGGGTAATTTTGCGCATCATATTGGGAAAATTTGCGCTGTATAGAGAAAGATTTGTAGGTATCTAAATAAACCGTTTATTTCTATAATATTATTATAATAAAACATAAAAATAAAACAAAACTATTTTCTCTATGAAACAAACAAAACAAACAAAATAAAAAATAAATAACGAAAAATAAAATTTTTCTTCTTAGAAATAAGAGGATCTACATGCAGCATTTGTCACATATGTAGTTTTAGGGGTTTTTTTTCGCTACACTCCGAGTGTGCCCAAATGGAAGTGTTTATGCTGAACAATCTAGGGTCCTGTATACCAAAGCTCCCATATTGGCCAAATTTTGCAGTGCAAAATTACCCCAATTTTTCAGCGTAAAATTACCCCCATTGCAAGAAAAATATTGTGATACTAAAAAACTTCCCAAAAGTTAACCTGAACAATTTAAACATACACCAGATTACGAGGAAAGATCATATAAAGTTGTGTTATAAACATTTAAGCGATTGGACAGAAATTTAAACTTAACTCGTAGCGGAAACGACATGGATTTCTTAGATCAAAGTAGATGTATCACAGTTAGCTAGTGACCATGGTCACTAGCTAAAAGCTACAAGCTTAATTGCGGTACACTTTAGTCCCCGTATACCCAAATCAACGTTTCCAAGTTTGCACCGCGCAAAATTCCCCCACCTTCCCCTATATTTGATAGAAATTGTGTGAATTCAGTAAGATTACTTTGAGTGGAGCGCTTATTAACAAAACCATGTTGCTGCGGTTAGATTTTGGAGTTAATTTGGGGATATAGACAGGCATATACAAGTTAAGTTACGCGTATTAAGTGGATGTAAATGAGCTTTAAGGAACTATAATAGGTTGAATCTGAATAGAGTGTCACATTTGAAATACTCAAATTAAATAAGAATCGACCTTTACATTTTCAAATGTAAACCCATCTAAATATTTTGTATAGGTTTTGCCCCATTCATCGACGGCACAATCCTGCTGAACCCCGCCACCACCCCTCCGACTTCCAGCTCCTCGACGGTGGCGACATCTGCCGGCTTCGAGCTGGCCGACTTCCCCAAACGAGACCTCCTCTTCGGGCTCGCCAGCACCGAGTCCTATCTGGACTTGAACGCCCAGGACTTGGAGTTCGGTTTCAACGAGACGAAGCGCGACAGAGTGCTGAGGACTTACGTGCGCAACTCGTACTATTATCATTTGAACGAGATTTTTTCCACGTTGAAGAACGAGTACACGGACTGGGAGAAGCCGACGCAGAATCCGTTGAGCGTTCGCGACGCCACCTTGGACGTGCTGAGCGACGGTCACACGGCGTCGCCGCTGATCCGCGTCGGCTATTTGCACAGCTTGAGCGGCGGGAAGACGTTTTTTTTGCATTTTCAGCATCACAGCGGCGAGAGGGATCTACCTATGGTAAGTTGATATATTTTAAATAACTATAGAACATCAATAGGTGGAATTTTATAACGAGTAAAACGGTTCAGGAACACATCACAAACTTTCACAAATCAAGGTAGGAAATTTTAAAAAAATGGACATAAACATCAATTTTTCTCTTTTTGCAAGTGACATTTTTTTAAATGCGTCACGTTGGTACATTTGGCGTTTTCAACTTAAAAAAATATATAATCTTCCAAACATTTTTTTTAAATAGTGATATTATTAGCTTTACTTTGTAAGAAAAATTAAAATCGCGTATGTAGCCGTTGTGGAGATATACACTTAAATATATTTTTTTTATAAATTAATGCGCAACAATAAGCTTAACATGTGTTCTAGTGAAAATGACCACAGCAATTCGCTATATATAAATATATAAATATATTGATGGTTTTCCGGGATCTGCTCCGAGTTGTCAGTTTTTGGTTCTTAAAGGAACCGTATGTCTGACGACGTTTCGGTACAATCTCATGTACAATCTTCAGGTCTTATCTGCTGGGCTGCTGTTGCTGCTCTGCTGCAAGTTCATACATATAACGCCAATGGAAATCTAAAGCAGCAGAGCAACAACAGCAGCCCAGCAGATAAGAGCGTACATGAGATTGTACCGAAACGTCGTCAGACATACGGTTCTTTTAAGAACCATAAACCGAAAACACAGAGCAGATGCCGGAAAACCACCAATACATATAACGCCCGTGAAAACCTAAAGCAGAACATTGATATCGTTAATTTGCGTGGCGTTTTGGTGGTTGTAAGAGCTGGTTTTTATGCAGTTGGTAGTCTCTGTGTATCGTCTCTTGTGCTGAGGTTTCTTGGTCCTGTGTTCGATGCTAGCCAAGACCCTTGTTTTTTCAAAGTCAATTTCATGGGAAGTTTTTCGGACGTGTTCAGCTGTTAGAAAGATGTTTTAAGATTGCGTTTCGATGTTCTTCACGTCTAACCTTGATACGTCTATTGGTCTGTCCAACGTAGCTTCCGTCACACCCTGTGCCTCTAACTCTATTTTGGTTTGGCGTTTGGAAGTATTTGACCGATCTTTCTTGTGGCGGTAAATGTTATGTTTTTTGAGAACTTTGCCTATTCTCTCGGTTGTCCCTTTCACGTAGGGAAGAAAGGCCTTCGAAGTTGGTTTGTTTGTTTGTATTTAACCGGCGTCGTGGTCTAAGAGCCTTTTTGATTATGGTTTTGGAGAATCCGCTTTGCTGTAGCGTCGTTTGGAATTTCAGGTCTTCTTGTTTCTTGTGGTCATCATCCGCCAGCATTTCGCGTGACAAGTGGTTTTTTTAATTGTCTCTTCTAAAGGCAAAAAAATCGAGGTCCAAATTTTGACATTGCCACATTTTTTTTTACTTTATATTTTTTTTTTCGTTTAAAGTTGATCTTATGAACAACTTACACCAAAAGTCCCCAGTTGGCTAAATTCGTCATTTCGGGATTATTATTTTTATGAAAATGCCATTTTCTAGTAAATTAGCTGTCCATCTCAAAAATTTGTTTTTTTATCTATATAGATAGACTGGTACTAACTCAAATAGTAGAATTTTTACTATTTAATTTTAAGAGAGTAGGCTCATAAAACTGGGGTGACCTATATGAAGTGTATATGAAGTATATGAAGTGACAAAAATATGTTAAATAAGTATGTCAAAAAGTTCTAAATTACACTTTATAAAGGTCACCCCAGTTTCATGTCCCTGTATAAAATACCAAATTTTTGCGATGAACCACGAATTTACTAGAAAATGGCATTTTTATTAAAAAATAATAATTCCGAAACAACAAAAATGTGTGTCAAAATTTTGACATCAATTTTTTTTTACTTTTTTAGAAAAAACAATTTTAAGAAAAAATGAGTGAATTCAATAAAGTAAACATTTACCAACAATTGTAACGATTGAAACATGTTTGGCCAAGTTATCGCATTTTAAAGAAAATAGACGTTCCTGTCCATTTTTCAAAAATGTTCTACGGCTGAACAAAACAAATTCAAGCAAAAAGAAAAATACAGGTAGAAAGCCAGTAATTAAAAACCCTGTATACATTACGTAATTGATTTAAGTTTTTATTTTGGACTCAATAATTTCATTTTTATTGGTTGGATCGTTATTGGTGAGGATCGAATTAAGTCTGACCTAACCGGAGTAATCAAGCTTGCCAGGCATAATGTCAAAAGGTTGCATAATTGACCTGAATTTTGCCACATCGTCCTCTCTTACTCCGGCAAGAGGGCCGCCTCTGCGAATTGATTTAATGCACTTAATGTACCGTAACTAAACTTAAAGAAGTATAAAAATTATTTAATGGAACGAGACCGAAATGAAATTTATGGCCATCTTTTAGCGCCATCTTCACCCTAATCAATGGCACCATCAAATTGACATTGTCGGGATAAAAATATTTCAATTTTTGCGGATTTAAAGATTATTAATTAAAAAAAAAATAATTTTTTTATTTTCTTCATATAGTTTCCATTTTATTATTTTAAGAGTTTAGTAACGTCAGTGGCGGACTAAGGGGGAATGGCAGGGGCGGTCCGCTCCGGGCCCCCGGTCCAGAAGGGCCCCCAAATCTTAAGTAGTTTTTCTTAGTCCAACAAAAAACTATCTAAAATTTCGGGTTTTAAAACTTCCGGAAAAATTGAGCCGGCAAAAAAAAACGGTTTTTTTTCGAAAAAAAAATTTACTTGAATTTTTCTATTTTATTCAAAGAGTAATACAAAAAAATGCAAAAGTCAATTTTTCTTAAAATTAACAAATTTTTACAGATATGTAGGTACTATCCGTACACTGATATCGAGAAAAAGGTGAATTTCCGACGCTGAATAATATGATATTATGATATTATGATTATATTCAGTGAATATAATCATATCATTTTCTTAAATCAATTTAATTTAATTCAAAGCTTTTTTAAAATTAAATTAATGTTAAGTTGTTGATTGCTACCTTTTTCAAATGTATATATTTTTCAAAAAAAGGCCTGGTTTTTTTCCCAATTTTTTCGTTTTTTTTTCGACACTTCAAAACCCTAGTATAGGAATAAATATTTTAGGACCCAGCTTTACCATAAAAAGTTAAAAACAATACTCGGAGATTTCAAGTTTCTAATGAATAACATGCTACAGGGTTGCCACCGATTTGTCTAAACCAAATTCCCTGACTTTTCCAGGAATTCCCTAAGACTTTGGTGCTTATGTAATACTTGAATTTATTTTTCTCTTGGTGGAAATTATAACGATTAATTAAAAAACTAAACTTTTATTGAAGTTTATAAAATTCAAAAACATTAACACAAATATATTAATATTTCTTATTAAAAAAATAAATATTTCTTAATAATACTATTTTTTTCGGGATAATAATTAATTTCGATTTTTTTACGGGTTTTTATTACATTAATTTTCTGTTCAATCTGAACATAACAGAAATAATAAAATTTTTAAAATTGCCTCTGAAATTTTGTCTGCGGCAGGTCTTGTTTATCAAGTTGATAAGTTCTTATCAGTAAATATTTGATAGTACAAAAAAGATTTTATTTCTATCATTTTTTGCAGGAGTTGCCGAAATCCTTTTTTAATAGCCCGCACTTTTATGTGGCCTACGACTACTTGACTTATTAATTAATTAATTTATTAACTATGCTTCTACTGATTTTTATTTAGTTTATTAATTATGCTTACCATTTACAAAATAAACAAATATTAATTACAAATTACACTCGTTTACATATTTTTTTTTTAATGAAAATTTTGTTGAAAAGTTTTATTTATAAATCAGCAATTCCCTGACCGACTTAGGAATTCCCTGACTTTGTAGATTTTTTTGCCAATTCCCTGACGTTTCCCTGACATTTCTAAAAAATTTAAATTCCCTGACATTTCCAGGTTTTCCAGATGAGCAGCTATAAAAAAAAAACTCATTTTGTGACACCCTGTAAAGGCAACTTGATTTTTTAACGAAGTTCAAGAAAATTGGCTTGAAATGTAATTTCGGACTAAATAATGCAAAAAGAACCGCAATCTCATTAAATTTAAGTCTTGAATAAATCGAGAAGAAATAAAAAGTGCAACCGTAAAATCGGGTATCGAAATTATTATTTTAAATTGAAGACAGCGTTACAGTGAATTAAGTCGGTGCATTATTAAAAAAACTAAATTCGATATTTAAAGAAAACGCCGCATCAATTTGCGGCGAAATGTAATTTCGGAATTTCACAAATAAGACAGATTCTATAAATCTCGAGCTGAAACTGAAACGTAATCAATTTATCTTTCTTTTGTTGAAAGGGATGTCCCAGGATATCACGATTATTCATAATTTAAACACGGTAAATATTTTTCTGAAAACAAGATTTACAAAAATATTGTTCCAATCTTCTAGGCATGGAACTAATTTTCCATGTTGTAATTTTCTTTGAAACTGTTCCACTTAATTTTGATCAAATCAATTAGCTCCTCTATTTTTTGGTCTTAATTCATATTGTAAATTTTTTACATAACATCCGCAAATATTATCGGGGCTTCTCTATGGCCAAGAAAGCGTCGTGTGTTGAAATTTAAAATCGTTAATAAATTACATCATTGGGTTATGTTAATCGGTCTGCGATATGCATTTGATTTAAAAAACAGCCAATTTTTTTAAAAGATTTTATAATCACATATAATTAATAACTCTCTAAAAATTAATTAGTCAAAAATGACAAATTGCTGGCTGCTTTTTTACTTATACCATGGTTAACCATGGTATTTCCAACACTTAACAGCCAATTCTTATGTAAAATTTTCCCCTGAATTCAAAAATTATGAAAGTTTTTGAGATATAGTCAATTTCATATTATATCTTCTAGACGAGAATGACAGATTGACAATTTTGTTGCATATAAATTTTTGTTAAAATTCACAAAACAGTTTAAAAAATAACAGCCCATGTAGTCTTAGCAACTTTTATATTTTTTTACTGGGAAACCAGAAG